TTATTAAGGCCCACCACCACCACCACATGCTGACTGTCATAACGAAAAGGGCTGACAATAGCCTAGATACAGAGAGCTGGCTCGGTAACCACTGAAAGTGTACGCAACTGTCATCAGGCCCGACATCACTGCCAGTTGGCCCAAAAGACAGTCAAACCAACGCTACACATTGCAGATGGTATCTGGGGAAGACTTAGCATACTGAAGGAAGTTTTCCTGATACTGACCCTGGGGCAGCACCCACTGAAAATTTGGGTATACGTCGCCAATATCACAAACGAATTTATCTTGAAGCTGGAAATCCTGAGTGCATATGATGCAGCTGTAGACCTAGGGCACCAAATACTGCATCTTGCAGAAGAAGAGGTATTGCTATGCAGCCCCAGGGTAGGGCCTTGGCCTTCCATCCTGGTAGTGACCAGTGATGAGATGAAACTTGCACAATGCATGGTAGTGGCAATGGCTCGATTGGAGAGTCTCCCTGGAGTGAAAAATTTCCTGGTAGAACCAAGTCTGGATCTGTCCCCATTTATTTGTAGTGGTTTTCTAACCTTTAAATTTCATTATACCTTACTTATGTAACATATTGTCACGTATTTTTGGTGTATGACTAATAATAACTGGCTTTGAATTGGATGACGGGATTTATTAATACCTTCTTGTGCACTCACTCGTAATTACAAGAACTTACAATAACTCACAGTAAATGACTGCCTAGGACTGACTCAGTTATGATCTCTATTCTGATCTGAACTATGATTGACTTCATTCTCATAGTCAAAGTCAAAATCAGAGTTAGTTTACAACTGGCAGTTTACTGCCAATCAGTTCATCTTGGCGTCAAGCCTCTAGAGACCCCCAACCAGGGATATTTTTTCAACTGAACTCTTGCAGTAATAGTTCTTATGTAACATCCTCTCTGATGAGAAGATGAGTATGTCTCTTATGAATATGCTTGGCCTTTTGTCAAGTGTATATTTCACACATATAGCATGCTTTAGAAAATTCTACTTTTGCACTACACACAAGTGTTCTGTCAGTACAGGCTTTACAGATCAGATCATGCCTGTCTTACACTGACTTAATTGTGATCTGAATAACCTCTTATATAGTGTATCCATATCCAGGGAAACCTCTGGTGAATCCACAATGATGTGTTGGTTTCCAGGAATCTGTCTCTGTAGAAACATCTTTCATTTTTGTATCCCAGGAAATGTGTTCTGTAATGAGTTGGATTCCAAGAATCCATCTCCATGGAAACATGTTTGTCAACTCATTCTCTAGCAACTGGTCTACATGTCACAATATCAAACATGATTTATGATTATAAGTGAATGGAAACTGAGAGATGTATGTTAGAATAATGACATAATTGAAACTTTGTTTACAGTGAAAAGTCCTCTACCAATCTGTCATTACAATGAAGATTGTCCACCTCACAAACTTTGTGATCGACTCAATCGTGTGTGTATCAATCCATGCTTAGAAGATTCTTGCGGAGAAAATGCTCAGTGCTTAGCAGTGAATCATGGCATTGATTGCAAATGTCTTGATGGATACATAGGAAACCCATATGTGGAGTGTATGAAAGGTATTTAAGTTCACTTAATTTCGTGACTGACTGATTAGTAGTAGTAATATTTTATAATAATCAAAGGTAATATCCACTTTTTGAATGCATGTTCTTTCTTCTCACAAAAAAAAAATGTTCTCTAAGATATTACATTCTCTGAAATGTAATGTTTCCAGCTTAGTTTCAGATCTAGTTTTCTGCTAATTGTCTTCAATTGTAATTAGCATGTATTATAGGAATGTCAAACATATGAACAGTCAAGATAAATATTACCTTATAATATGGAAGCAGGTATATATTACTAGCACCCTACACATGCATGCATGTGCATACACACACACACACGCGCACACACATACATGCATGGTAACATACAAACACACATATTCACTCACAAACAACTTTCACATAGCTTAATTCAAAAATCCAATTTCACATATTTGCAATGAGTTCATTTTCTGTTGAGAGGCTGTAGCCCCCAGAATTCAGGAATTTTGTCATAATATGGAAGTTTCTGGTGCTGAAATGTTCATATGTTAGATGCTATACTGTACACGCTTGTAACATGTCAGTACACTGTGAATAACCTGTAATCTATTTATTTATTTATTTACTTCATATCCATGGGTCATTATACATGATATAGGACAAGTCAAATGCTTTACAATACAATAAATAATAATAATAAATATAATGATATAATAATATAATAATATACTAAGATGATAATAAAATGATGATTCTAATAATAGAACTGATATAATTGTTTAACACATGACACCGCTATATGCCTCAAGACCTGATCCTTCTATCCCGGCACAAAATACCCTGGTATCCTTGATCTCATTCCTGTAAGAAAAAAATACAGAACAGGGCAGTAGGCATTCCTTTAACATGTACTCATATTAAAATCTACAAGTTAATTATTCTTGAAATATATGTTTACAAGTGATTAGAACTAGGATTTGTCCCCAAACAAGAGAAACTCCTCTTTACTATAGAAACAATGATCAAGTAGGAATGTTTTCAGTCTTTTTAAACTTGTATAGTATTGGTATCTCTTTAATATACTGTGGCAACTAATTTAACATATGTAGTCCAATATTATTGAAATTGTTTTTGTATAGACTCGTATTACATGGCACTGAACAAGTCATTTTTTCTCCTTGTATTGTGCAAGTGTATTCCTGAATTGGTTATGAAAACATTCAAATTGTTTTTTATGTAATCTAGAATTTCATATATATACAGGCATGGTAAAGGTAATATATGTAATGATTTAAATTTTGTTTACAACTAATAGTTTTTGGGATTTGTATCATAGCTTTAATAGCTCTCTTCTGCAACCTAAAGATCAATTTTGCATTTCCTGACTTTCCGCAAAATATCAATCCATATACTAACAAGGATTGAAAATAGGCATAATATAAGGTGTGAACAGTCTCTAACCCTGATACTCTTTTGACTACTCATAAGGCAAAACATATTTTAAATAATTTATTTGCTAGTTGTTGAGTATGTGCAGACCACCTTAGATTCTTATCCAGCCAAACTCCTACAAATTTTGTATGTTCTGTATAATTGATGACTGTATCATGGAGCTTTATTAATGATCATTCGACTTGCAATTTTTGAGGTTGATGAAAGGATACTGCTATTGCTTTTTCTTTATTAATAATTAATCTGTTCCTTTCAAACCACTCTGTGAGTGCATTTATTGTTTTTTTTTTCCTTTGGCTGCAGTTTAAATATATGATGTCCTGATGCTATCAGACAGGCTAAATTTCTTTCTTACACAACAGCAGCAACAGACCATACTTAATATCACGTTATCCTACTACACTGAACATTTCAAAGAGGTTATCACACAAGATATTTTCTTCTCTGTTATGGCAGTAGTAAGTAGTGAAATATAAATTCTGTTACAAAATATGTACTAAGCTGTTGAATTTATTTCCAGTGACAGGGTGCCATAATGATGATGAGTGTCACACTACTGAAGCTTGCATCAGTGGCACATGTCAGAGTCCATGCAAATGTGGATTGAATGCTATTTGTGAAGTGTTACATCACAAAGCAACATGCAAATGTCTGCCAGGATACAATGGAACTCCAGTTGCAGGATGCCAAGGTAAAGCTATAGCAAATATCACTGTGGAGAAAGTAACACTGAAGGATAATTTCATTGGGGAAAATAATTATTTGTTTTTCCTGTATACTCCAATATATATGCACTTATGTTTCCTGCATTGCTCATAGAAATGGCTTCAGATGTTGAAGCATCTTTCACAGTTAATATGTTGCTTCTAGTCACTCCCCTGTGGTTATGAGATCAATATGCAGTATACTATCCTATTTTCTTTTCAGAATGAAAGTATTCTTTATGTTAGCTATATTATGTGTTAGTAACTTCTGTTCAAAGAAGAGATATTGTTATATGGTGTGACAGAAACTAAGAAGCTGCTATAATAGTAATTTTGTAGTGAAAGCAACTGATATAGTAATATTTTGTTCATAATATATGTTATTTGATTTTAAATGTTTCTGTGTAGGGCCAAGTAATCCTTGTGATCCAAATCCATGTGGCTTAAATGCAATGTGTGAAATTGACAATGGAAATCCAATATGCTTCTGTCCAAAGGGATTGACAGGAAATCCATTCAAGAACTGCAGTAAGTGTTTTCAATTCCATCCCATAGTACAAATACCCAATAAATACTGTTCATAATGATTTTAATCTGACTGAATAGTAGTAGTGGGTTTTATGGCACTTCAGTAGCATGTTTATTCATGTTATTGTGGTATAACCATGTTCTTCCATACAGTAATCTCTTATTGAACAAGGGAGTTAACAGTCCTACAAAATGTTATAGTAAATAAAACTGTGTATGTGAAGTGGTACAATGGAAAAATTAAGATTTGGGGAACTGAACATTATCAACAGAAAATAAATATTCAGAATGCTTTAGCCATATGCACACACTGTATTTACTAACATAGTTTCCCTAATGGTTTATTTTTCATACTCTAAATTTTGAAGTGAAGTATGCTTTACTTTTTGTGTCATAGCATCCTATACTTATTTTTTAACATGACATAGATATTGTTCAGATATACAGAAACTATATATCTCCTCAGTATGTAATTTCTTCTGGTCAGAGGATGTGAGACAAAAGTGCTGGTAGGGCTGGAGTACATAACAGTATCTTTCATCATGGCATTTTGTTGGGTCCTCCATTATATGCTGTATAAAAGAAATTTCTTCCTTGAGTGGAAATATTTTGAACATAAGAACAAAATATTTATATTTAGCAACGCTATTTTGCAAGCATTTATGATATTATTATTATTATTATTATTATTATTATTATTATTATTATTATTATTATTGCTAGTGGGGTGGGACTAAGTCCCTTTTACTGCAGGCACATTTCTGGCCTATTGACCAGCCCCAGATGATAGGTGAGGGTGATTGTGGAGCAATTGGTGGAATGAAGATAGGCAGGGGAAACCGAAGTACTCGGAGAAAACCTGCCCCAGCACCACTTTGTCCACCACAAACCCTATTTGACCAGACCTGGGATCGAACTCAGGCCACCACGGTGTAAAGCCAGCGACTAACCGGTTGAGTTATGGTGCGGCCCATATATATATATATATGCATACATACACATGTTTTAGGCTTTTGAAATACTGTGAACATTATAGCTTATCAACCTGACAAGTACAGATGTAAACTAAGTGTACATTAATGTAGGAATTGTGTTTCTTTTTACTTATTAGTACATATTTTATTTCAGTTCCTGAAGGAGATAAGTGTGAACCAAATCGATGTGGGCCAAATTCAGGTTGCCGTGTTGTAAATGGCTTACGGCTCTGTTTCTGTCTCCCAGAATTTGAAGGCAATCCTCCATCGAAACCATGCACTTTACCATCTAATCCTTGTGATCCATCTCCCTGTGGTCCCAACACTCAGTGTGCCATCCTGAGCAATGGATTTGCTAAATGCACATGCCTACCAGGCTTTCTGGAGAGCCCTAACACCATCAGAGGCTGTGTGAAAAGGCGCAATCCTTGTGAACCCAATCCTTGTGGCCATGGGGCTCTCTGTGATCCAAACAAGGAACCAGCTTGTTTCTGTCCAGAACCCAGTATTGGCAATCCATACCGGAGCTGTGAAGGTATGTGAATACATTTGCAATGGAGGCCAGTAACTTCAGTATATATGTACTAAATTGTTTGGATTACTTGACTTCAGGTGTTACTAATGTTCAACTTTAGGCATGATGCAGTCTTTCTTTTCGGTGTTTTCCTTTTAGTTTCATATTCAGAACCTCATTTGGGATTGTCTTTGTTAATTCTTAAAATGTACCTGAACTACCTTATTCTGTATTTTTATTGAATTGAATTGAATTGAATTTATTTACATTCTATAAATCCTAAGCAGGTTAGTACCTTTGGATACAGAACAAGTCAAAATGTTACATACATAAGTACAGGCAATTTTAGCTTAAAAATTAATATAACTTAATTTTACATCATTCTCTATTTACATTGAAGTATTCATCTAAAGAGTAGAAGGAATGAGCATGTAGATAATTCTTTAACTCTGATTTAAACTTTTTAGTATCATTGCCCAAGTTTTTAATACTTTGTGGCAGATTGTTGAACACTTTTATGCCAGTAAAGTAGACTCCTTTTTGATATACTGATAAAGTTGATGAGGGTAGGTGGAAGTTATATTTTTGTCTAGTATTCATGTTATAGACATCAGAATTTAATTTGAATTTATCTTTGTTGTAAACAACAAATAGGAGAAGCGATAATATGTATTGCGATTGAAGCGGTAGAATTTTTAATTTCTTAAATAATTCTCTACATGAATCTCTACTTCTACATCCTGTAATGATTCTTATTATATTCTTTTGTATTTTAAAAATTATTACACTATGTGAAGAGTTCCCCCAAAATATTAATCCATAGTTCATAATAGAATGAAAGTAGGCATGGTAAACCATCTTCAATGTTTCCTGTGACATAAAAGGCTTAATTGATCTCATCGCATAGCAAGCTGCATTTAATTTAGGTATAATTTGTTCAATATGTATTTTCCAAGACAGTGTACTGTCTACATGTATTCCAAGGAATTTTGTATCAAGTACTTTACAGATTAATTTGTTGGCATAACTGATGTCCAGATCAATTTGGTGGTTGTTTTTAGTTGTGAATGATATGTAATGGGTTTTATCAAAATTTAATGAGAGTAAATTGGCTTCGAACCATCTGTTTAAGGCTTCAAATACAATATTTATGTCATTTTTAAAGTTGTCAAATTTAGAGTTCTTAAATATTATACTAGTGTCATCTGCATATAGAATTGGTTTAGATTTATTGTTGATGGTTTTAGATAGATCATTTATGTAGAGAAGAAAAAGTAAGGGACCTAAAATTGATCCTTGTGGAACACCGTGCTTTATAATTCCCCAGTTTGAAAATGCATTATGACTGGAGTTTTTATTATTTATTTCAACTCTTTGATACCTGTTTTAATATACTGATTATTAGTTAGTTTATAGATAGGGTGAGAGACATGTAAAAATGACAGCACCAGATCCCCAACATTACAATTGAGTGGTTAGAACTCCTGCATGACATTTGGGAGGCCACAAGTTCAAATCTCAGCTAAGAGACCAACTATCCTAACTGAGGTATTTTCATGGATTTTCTTAGTCCTTCCAGGCAAATGCCAAAATAGTATCTTAAATTGGGATACCACTGCTTTCTTCCGTATAATTTCCAGTTCATTATTCACTAACTGTCAATTTAATGCTATATAACCTTAGCAGTTGAAAGCTTGAAATAAACCAAGTATGTAAAACATCAAGTCAAAATATCTATACAGAATTAATTAGATAGTCATAGAAATAGCATCTAATAGAAATCTTTAGCCATAATTATCACCAGATAATATACAACCTCTTATATCCCATTAGTCAGATTATTTTTTCATGTGTATTTTAACACGTTGCTTATTATCTGTAGATGGTGTAAATTGCCATGGGAACTGAAATGCCTGTAAATTCACTCTTACTCCAAATTAATTAGAAATACCATATAGAGATTTTGAATTGATGTTGTATAATGCACTTAACTTCTAAAGAAATCTAATTTTCCTTTAGTGTTACTACTTCTCTCTGATATATGTTCCCAGTTGCACTGTGCTTCAATGTATTGACAACATCTTATGGTTCTATATCATTTTGCAGAACCTGTGAAGTTCCTGTGTGAGCCTGGACCATGTGGCAATAATGCTGACTGTTACATCTCTGAAAATCAAGAAACTTGCTATTGTAAATCAGGTTACAAAGGTGATCCGTACTCGGGCTGTGTCTTGGAACCTGCGAATCCTTGCCTGCCAAACCCATGTGGGCCCAATGCTCTTTGTACAGTCTCACCACAGGGTCATCCCATGTGTCTATGCCCTGATGGACTGTCTGGTGATCCTACTGGCCCTGCAGGCTGTGGGGGTCCTGAATGTAGGACAGATGATGACTGCTCAGACAAACTTGCCTGCATTGCATACAAATGCCGTGACCCATGTCCTGGGTCTTGTGGCATAGGAGCTTCATGCCGTGTGGAAAAACACCATCCCGTATGCACATGCAACCATGGTCTAAATGGAAATCCTCTGATACGATGCTCACCACTGCTAGGTAATTAGTATTTTTATAATCATTGTTTGCTGGATTTTATTCTTCAACATATTATAGTTTTAATGTATGATACTCATATGCAGTCTGTTATACAGATTTATTTATTTTAATTTTCATTCATGTTATGTGACATGACTTATTTATTATTTTATTAAATTTTAAATTTTATTATTTTGCATTTATGTAAATCACAGGTTTATAGGCATGTTAACAGCTAAGTTAATAAGTGGCTTATATACTATTGAAATTTTAACTTCAATAAAATAATATAAAGAATTATCAACATTGAACATGTTAAATAATTTTAGAATCAGACCAGTTTCCTGTATGTAATATCTACAAATTTCATATGAGTTAATGTGTGTAAAATTTATGTCTAATGTGAGACATTGAAATTCTTGTAAGTTTCAGTCTTGAGTCCAGTCTAGAAAACCGAAATTAACGGCCATGGGAATTTGTAGCACTGACCACACGACACTCTGTATCCACAAAAGTTGGCATTAACCTCGCTGACAAACGGCGGTTGCTCAGTCAGTATAGTTGGCTTGCGGACTAAATTCATGGAGTTTGTTTTTTTGTTCAGTCTTGAGCTAAGCTTTTGCAGGGTGATTCAGAAATCTGCCACATGAACGTATGACCTTGACCACTACCTACTCTAATCAGTTATGCCCTAGACAGCTGTTTTGACATGGACAAACCCTGTGAAAATGGTGTTTTCACTTGAGGCTTCAGTGATTGTGATGGAACGAGTGTTTTATTGTAGAAGTGTATACACAGAGAAGGTCAAGTATAAGTTTGTGGAACTGATTGCCATATCTCACATACCACATCGCAACATATTGCAGCAGTTGACTGAGAGGTTTAGGGAAGTTGGATCAATTTCTGATGTGCTGACAACTGGCAGTTCACAGTTATTAATTCTGGACAAAGTACTGAATATCTCTGATTGCATAATGCAAAAGCTGAAGAAATTGTCACAGCAAGCAGGCGTCTCATATTCATTAACACAGAAAGCACTTAAAATCGCACCTGTGTCCATGTAAGATAGCATGAGTGCATGAACCATAGGAATGTCTCTTGTTCATGTGCGTGCAGTATTGTNAGTCGTACTGAGTTGTACAGCAACAGTCGCCGAGTCAAGACGTAAAGTCAGCCAGTCAGTTGTAATGTGGCTAACAGCGAGTTGTACTGTGACAGCCGCCGAGTCGAGACGTAGAGTCAGCCAGTCAGTNATAGGAATGTCTCTTGTTCATGTGCGTGCAGTATTGTTGATGGTTTAGAGATTTCCTTGCTGCTAATGGAGATGATATTCTGGACATTGCATTTCTAAGGGCAAAGTGTGGCTCCATTTATAGAGGCATGTCGGCACAAAAAAAAAACAGCCATATGTGGTCAACATTTAATCCACATGAAATTATGGAGACATTGCTGCATGATTGAAGGTTGATGTATTGTGTGTGAACTTATCATGAAGTCAAGTAATTGGGCCCATGTTTTTTGAGAATACTCTCAACTTTTAC